GCCCCCCCCCCCCCACCGTATGCGCCCCAGCTCCAGCCTGGGGTTTGCCAAGAGGCTGGCAGCTGTCAGTACAAGCCCAAACACAAACAATTCCCGAGGCCTGGAGGAATCGAGCCCCCACCTTCTGACGGGGCGATGGCCCCAGCATGCACAATCGCACCCAGCTTGGATTAGGACTTTTTTTTTTAAAACTAGGGGAGGAAGAGGGGCATTAGCAACTGAGATGCCCCCCTCCCACCTCCAAAGAAAAAGAAACAAAAGCAGTCCCTTGAAAGACTTTTACATGTACAGAAGAAGCTTGGAAGGAAACACAGACAAGCAGGACAGCTTTGAAATTACAAGTGAAATTGATTACATAGCACTTTGTAAAAAAGCAGCCATACAGAATCAGAGACACGATTTCACAGCAACGTAGCAATGTTTCCCGTTTTTTGCTATTTGTCAAATTCTGAATTAAAAATAAAAGAAACAAGCTCCATTACAATACATTCCCAAGGCCCCTTGGGTGGTTCTGACAGCCTACAATTCTGCTGCCCTGACACTCCCTCTTAGGGAGGTGGTGCCCTGGCCAAGGATAGGGATCTCTGGGTCAAGTAGGCAATAGAGAGCAGGGCGTGGACTCTGGTCCTTGGACGCTAAAGTCAGGCCTGGAGGCTCACTGCAACACAGAGGATGATGAGTAGACTTCCCACCCCCAGCTCCTTGAGCATGATAACTCTAAGGTTCCAGCAGCTCCTGACCAAAGAACCACCAAGATCTATAGGTCAGACTGAGCCCCGAGTCGGGGAAGGATTATACATTCTTCTCATTATTATAATCCTGGGGCATGGTAAGGAAGGAGAACCTTTTATCCTAGGGTGTTCGTAGGCCTCCACATCCCAGCTGCTCTCTATTACTACTTGACACCTGCGGGCGACATGGTACAGGAGGGAAAGAACACTGAATTTGGGGTCATCCATGACTCGAGTGAGTGCCACATGCCACTGGCCTCCTCAAGGAACTTCAATGCCTCCCTGCTGCCCCTGGGACCAAATCCATGTTCCTCTGTTTGGCTCCAGTCTGTCATTCCCGGATTATTGCACATTATTTCCCTGTTTGCACATTCTACAACCCAGCTTAAAATCTCCCACTTGGTAGGACACGCTCCCCTGCCCAGTGCCTCCTCAAAGACTCCTTCAGGGCTCAGCTGGGGGCTCCCTTCTACACTGGGCTTAGGCTCGCCCCTCCACCCCTTCCTGAAATGACTTTCTGCCTACTTTGTGTAGGGTTATGCACCCAATCTTTCCCTCTGAGCAAAGCAGCAGCTCCCTGAGGGTCTACACTAGTCTACACTCTGCAAACAAGCAAGCACCTCTTCCTTTCTTATGTCTCCAAAGGGAGATGGTGGCTTGGCCTATTTTCATCTTTTAAAATGATGCCAAGCTGGGGAGGCCTGCTTGGTCCAGCCAGGGGCTGCTACGGCCCCATCAGCTGGTGCCCAACCACGCCCATGCACACGTGGAGTGTTTCTTCCTTTCGTGAGCTATCAAGTTCACAAGTCAGAGATTTCAAGCTAGAAGGATTTCGGATGCAACCCCTTTGTTTTCCAAAGGAGGAAACTGAGGCCCAGGTAAGAAAACCTGATTCCTCTGACACCAAAGTCAGGGCTCTTTCCACTGTCCTATAGGGATGTCAAGGGCATAAAAGAAGGACATCAAACAATCAATTAATAACAAGCACCTACTGGGCGCTGGGGAAACAGTTCAGTGAACTGGGCCCTGCTCTCAAGCTTACATTCTAAGAGACACAGACCAGAGACACAGAGAAGGAAGCAGAAAAGAAAACCCAGATACTGCAGCCGAGGCACCGGCAGATGGAGGAGCACAAAGCTACAGAAACCCACTGGGTAAAAACGGAGAAGCCTTCTCCTCCGAACCAGGGCAGGGCAGGAAGTTCCTGCAGGAACGGAAGCAGAAAACCACAGTCGTTTCCAGCAAGGTGCCTTCTCCTTCAACAAAGCATCAGTGACCCACGGCTTGACAAAGGCAGAGAAAACCTGGGCGATAGTTCCCCAGAAGCCCCCAGACTACATCCCAAGCATTTTTCTTTAAGACTGAGGTGGGGAAACATCACAGATGCCATACAACAGGAGAATTCTCACCCAGTAACAGAGTAAATTCAAGGCATTGGATTAGAGAAAGTCAAACTGAGACAGAGAGGCAGCATGGTGGAGGGCACAGAGGGCCGGGCTTAAGTAAATGCAAGGCAGAGGAAACATCAGACAGAGCAGTCCTGAGCCTTCTGAGGAGGGCTGCCCAGAGAGGGCACCTCAAGGTGAGAATTGAAAACAAGTAAAGATTCTGAAAGGCAAAGATTTAGAGGAAACTGAGGCAAACAGAGGTTAAGTGACTTGCCCAAGATTACACTCATACCCTGCTAGGCGGTGCAGTGGTTAGAGTGCCCAGTCTGAAGCCAGGAAGACCCGAGTTCAAATCTGGCCTCAGCTGGTAGGAGCCTGGGCAAGTCATTTGACCTCAGTTTGCCTCAGTTTCCTCAACTGCAAAATGGGGATAATAATGAGACCTTCCTCCCAGAGTTGTTGTGAGGATCAAATGAGATCAGATCTGTAAACTGCTTGGCATACAGCTGGTGCTACATAAATGCTGATTTTCCCTTCCCTTCCCCCATCCAGTCGGAAGATCAATCAATTTCTAACTGAGACACAGTGGCTGTCACACACTTGTCACTAGAGTCACACAGCCCCTAGCAGCTACCCAGGCTATGAGCCAAGAATCCCCAAGCCCTCTGGCCACGGCAACACGCGCCACGCCCATTCTAGGGAATCTTCCGAGCACCTCTCCGAGGTCTGCCCACAGTGGGTGACAAGCACCCGGGCAGCTCGAGCGGGATCTGCCGGGTCCTCGGGTATACCCTTAGCATCCACTCCAGGAGGGTGGGCAGACCCGACGCCCTCCACACTCCCCAGTAAACCCCCAGAGAAAAGCTGGGTCCGGCCTCAAGGTCACTTACAGCAAACGCGTTGTAGGAGGCAGCGGCAGCTCCCCGGGGCCCAGCTGCAGAAGGGAGCATGGACAGACCTGTCGAAAAGATGCCAAGGGCACTGAGGTTCAGTCCCGGGATCAGATTGCCTTGTTGCTAGGAGCCGAGACGGAGAAGGAAGAAAGGGGAGAGAAGAGCAAAAACATCTCAGTTTCCTCACGTCCACTTAATGCAAACAGAGCAAACCATCCCGACCCAAGAGGGGACAGGATGCAGCCTCCCCCAGCGAGTGCCCGCTCAGGCCCGCGGCTCACGGCACCCAGAGTCTCCTCTTTCTCCCTTCTACTGCCCCGCCTGGCGTCCAGAAGGCTGAGGACCAAGAAAGGAGTCCTGGGCCGAACACCAGGGACGGGTGGCCAGAGGGGCCTTAGATGGTTTCTAATCCAACCCCCTTGTTTTAGGGAGGAGGAAAGAGAGGGAAAGCCACTTGCCCAAGGCCACAAAGGTAGTAAGGGGCAGACTGAGGATTAGAAACCAGGTCCTTGGGCCCCCAAACTGGATCAAATGTGATAACGTTTGTAAAATAGGGCTTAGCCCAGTGCCTGGCACACAGTAGGTGCTGTTTAAATGCCGACTCCCTTCCTCCCAAAGCTAGTCCTGTCTGGTTGGTGGAGGCAGCTCAGGGAGCCAGTAACATTAATGAAGTCTCTGCTGCCCCCATCACCACACAAGGGGTGGACAGAGGCTGCCGGAGCCTTCCTCCCGACTTGGGATTTGATTTATTCTGTCCCCAAGGGGCTGGGAATTGACCACACACTCAGAGAGTCTCAAGGGTAGGAAGGACCTCAGAGGCCTGCTGGGTCCACTTGGGCCTGGAGGGCCACCCTGGCAACATCCTCTTAAGGCAGGGCTGAGAACTGGTTTTTAAAAATATTTTTATTGCTGGATTTCAATAAAATTGGTTTCCTTTGGAATCCTATGTATTTTGTGGTACATATTTAGAAACATGATTCGAAGGAAGGAAGGAAGTGAAAGGGAGGGAGAGAGAGAAAGAAGAAGGGAGAGAGGGAAGGAAGAAAGGATACAAGGAAGAAAGGAGGGAAGAGAGAGAGAGAGAGAGAGGGAAGGGGCCTGGGGTCCATGGGCTTCACTAGGCTGACAGCCAAAATCGTCCAGGGCACAGAAACGAGGTTAAGGAGTCCTGATTTAAGTCACCTTGATTCTGCCTGAAGAACTCTGGTGATGGGGAACTCATTACCTCATGAGGTAACTCAAACATTATTATTATTTTTAGGAAGTATTTCCTTATAACAGACAACCAAAACTTGTCGCTTTGCCCAGTTTCTTCCCTCACTCCTGACGTCGCCCTCTGTGACCATCCCTCTTTTACTGAACAGCCAGGCCTTCAAGGAGCTCAACGAAGTCCTCCCCTCAACCTCCCCTTCTCCACACCAAATGTTTCCTTCCCTCCGCGGCATGGCCATCAGCCTGCCCACCGACCTGGCTGCCCTTCCCTGGATGGGCCCTTCTCTTCATGGACCTCCCAAACCAAGGAGTCCAAAATCGAACCCAGTCCTGGAGAGGCGGCCTGAGCAGGGCCGAGGACAGAAGGACCCCGAAGTGCCCCGTTCAGGACACCACACGTCTCAATGCTGCCAGGAGCCATCGGCACCTGTGGCCACAACGTCCTAGCTCAGCTTCTCCTCTCTCCCCAGTAACTCTCCTCAGACCAGCGTCCTGCCCGAAGACTCCCTGGAGAGCGAGGGGCAGGCGCGGGGCGCTTACGTTCACGGTCACCATGTCGTTCTCGTAGGCCTCGCGCAGCTTCCTCATAATCTCCACCTCAGCGGAGGAGCAGGCCTCAGTCGTACCTTTGACTGTGATGGTTCTCTCTGGGTTGTAAATGGTCAAGTCCTGCAGACTGGGAGATCACGGAGGAAAGAAAAACCTCAGGCTTTCCAAAGGACCCAAATCGATCTGACACAAGGCGGCGAACAGACTCTGATGGGTCCCCACGGCTGCCACGGCACCAGGGCCACGTGGTGGCATGGAACAAATGGCCCGAGATGGCCCCACATCTCCCCATCTGTGCTGGGCACGATGCCGTCGGGGGAATTCCTTTCCCATTTCCCGGCTGCCAGATGGACCTAAAGCTCAGGTCTGACCACACCACGCCCCTCCTCTAGCATCCTAAGTGGCTCCCTATTACCTCCAGGATAAACTGTTCAGCTTGGTGTTTAGTCCTGCACAACCTGGCCTCCACTTCCCTTTCTTGACTTAATCCATATTGTTCTTTTACACATATTCTTTGTAGTTGCTTCTGCTGAGTGATTTCAGTTGTGTCTGATTCTCTGTGACCCCATTTGGGGTTTCCTTGGCAAAGACACTGGAGTGGTTTGCCATTTCCTTCTCCAGTTAATTTGACAGATGAGGAAACTGGGGCAAACGGGATGAAGTGACTTGCCCAGGGTCCCACAGTTATTAAGTGTCTGAGGCTGGATTTTAACTCAGGTCTTCCTGACTCTAGGCCTTGTACGCTATTCACTGCGCCACCTAGCTGCCCTTCATATATTCTATGTTGCGGCCAAACTGTTCTTTTTCCAGAACTTAACACGCCATCTCCCACTGCCACGTCTTTGCACTAGTTATGCCCCATGCCGGGAATTCATTCTTGCCGCACCTCTGCCTCCTAGCATTCCCAGCTGTTTCAGATTGTGCTCAGAAGTGAGCTCCTTCCTCTGTAAAGGCTTTTTTCCTGAGTCACCACATCTCTCTCTCTCTCACGCACACACACACCCACACACACTCCCCAGGTAATCTCACTCATTGATCCAAGCACTCGGTGTATCCTCCCAACCCCCACAGAAGGGGACTGTCTTGTCTGGGCCTACCACGGTGTGCGGCACATAGTAGGTACTTAATAGATGCGCTAGTGTGCAGCACACAGTAGGTATTTAATAGATGGCCATGGAATAGAAAGCTGCGTTGCTGGCAGAAGCTGGAGGAGGGTGAGCCGCGGCTGAGCAGAGGGTGCCGTTTGGTCCCTCTGGGGGCGGCTTACGGAGAGATGGTGATCTTGGTTCCCGTGTCCTGCTCAATTTTCTTCAGGTTTCGCCCTTCTTTGCCAATCAGTCTCCCAACCAAACTATTGTGGGCCAGGATCTTCAGAGGAATTTCTTCCGCTCTGAAACAAAGCAAAGGCCCCTCAGTGCCATGCCGTGGGACTGAGGCCCCAGACCCACCTCGCGGGGATCGTTTCTGAGAAGAGAAGCTCCCGGGAGCTGTGGAGACCCAGGCTCAGGGGATCTGCACGGTCACTCCCTGAGTGACCTTGGACAAGTCCCTGAACCTCCTGGGACTCAGTTTCCTCATCTAAGAAATGAAGGGGGTTGGGCTCAGAGTCCTTTCAAGCTCTAGTCCCATAAGCCTGGCACCCCACGGGTTCTCCAATTCTTGTACAACCAAAGGATCATCTAGTCTAGCCATATAGTCTAACCCCCTCATTTTACAAATGAGGAAACTGAGGCCCAGAGACGGTAAACGATAGGATAATAGACATAGCTAGAAGGGACCTCAGAGGCTGTCTAGTTCAATCCCCTCATTTTACAGATGGGGAAACTGAGGCCCAGGTGAAATGCCTTGCCCAGCGCCATAAACATATTAAGTGGAATGGCCAAGATTTAAACCTAGACCCTGTGGCCGTCAGGCTGGTGCTCTGATGGTCATCTTAGGGCTCTGATAAAGACAAGCCACTCTGGGGCCTCCAACTTACGACTTGGTCTCATCTGCTTCTTTCTGCATGATTTCGAGGATCATCCGACAAGCTTCGCTGGCACCCTCGGGGCTGGCATGGATGGTCACGGGCTTCTCAGACGCCCCCGCGTTCTCCTTCCTGTGGATGTCTACCCTGCAGCAGGACAGAAGAAAACACAAGCGCACCCCCACACAGTCATCCTCAGCTGCTGCAGCTGCCAGATGGCTAAGTGGGGCACAACGACCGTGTTTTCATGAAGCAGGGCTCCTCTCAGAAGGAAGGGGGATGTCCACCTCGAGGGCAGACGCACAGGGAGTCACTGCCCACCGCGGCCAAGTGCAAGCCTAACAGCACCTACAATGTGCTAGGAAGCACCAATGGGTCCTGCCTCAGTCTGTTTTCTCTGCTCTGTGTCACTGAGCCAAGTGAAGGAGTCAATGGAAAAATAAAAGGGAGGGAGGAAAGAGGGAGGAGGGAGGGGAGAGAGAGAGGAAGGAAGGAAGGGAGGGAGGGAGGAGGGAAAGAAGAGAAGGAGGGAGAAGGGAGGGAGAAAGGAAGAAAGACAGGAAGGGAAGGTGGGAGGAGGGAAAGAAGAAAAGGAGGGAGGAGGGAGGGAGGAAGGAAAGGAGAGAGGAAGGAAGAGAGGGATGAAGGGAGGAAAGAAGAGAAAGGGAGAGAAGGAGAAGGGAAAGAGGGAGGGATGGAGGAAGGAAGGGAAGAAGGAAGGAAGGAAGGAAGAGAGGGAAGGAAGAAGGGAGGGAGGGAAGGAAGGGAAGAAGGAAGGAAGGAGAGAAGGAAAGTGGGAGGGAAGTTTTCTCCCCTACCCTCTTTCCATCACTGCCATCTCCCTTAACTTCACTCTGCAGATCATGGCTACCTGTCACCTGCCCCTCCTGTGATCTGCATCCCCCACCCCCAAGTAGGTCAGAAGCTGCCCAGGCTTAGGCTCTTCGTGGCCACCAAGTCAGCCTGGGGGAGGCGCCCTCAGGGAATCTTTGTTAATGCAGTCAGTAAACAAAGGGGATCCTGGCATTCAAGAAAGCACAAAGCTGGAAGGCTCCCTCAGATAATCTGGTCCCACTTCCTCCTTGTATAAAGCAGGAAACTGAGGCTTGCATACACAGAGCTCTAAAGCAGCCTGTTTCCTGGCACACAGCAGCCACTTAATAAACGCTCACTGACTGATTGGAAGGGACCTCAGAGGTACTGAATTCTCAGGTGACTTCTCCAAGGTCACCTGGTATGTGAGAGCCAGAGTCAGGATTCAAACTCAGGTCCCGCTACTTCAAGTTTAGCACTCTTTCCAAACCACATGCTCATACTTTGGTTTCAGACAAGGCTCGGCAGACTGAGAGATCCATCAGCTACAACACTGAGCCTCCAAATGCTTTAGTTCCCCAACATGAGGGCAGAATCAGAGAGCCTTGAGTCAAAATAGATGTGGTCAACACAGGAGGCCAAGGACACGGCCAGGACATCACTGGCTTCTCCTCAACCCTGCCCTGTTCCCAGTGACTGCCCTTGAGCCCTCGGTACTGCTGATCCAAACTGGTCACTGGATGACAGGTCGAGAGCCGGGAGGCAGCTCGGACGTGGGCCTCTGTCTACATTCATTTTGTAGAGCCAGACAATCTGTCACTTAACTTGCCCTAGATTCTCATGCCTCACATTGAAGGCTCTCGGGGTCCCATTGAACACGGACCATGATAGGCTCAAGAAATGTGACTCAGCTAATCCAGGCCCTGCCCCTTACCACCGAGACTGAAAGCTGGCCTGGCGCTCCTGAAAAAAGCCAAGAAGCCAGAGGGCACTTACTTAGACTGGGTTTGCTTCGTAAGGTTCTTAATGGTCAAGCCCTCCTTTCCTATGATGGCGCCAACAAACTGGGTAGGGACAAGGATCCGGAGTGGGAATTCCAGCTGCTTGGCCTGGGCTGAGCCCCCAGGAGAGTGGCCGTGCTCCCTGGAAGAGGAGTCTCCCCGGCGGGATCTCGAAGGGGCGCTGCCATCTTCATCAGGGAGGTAGGAAACCCTGAAGGCGTAGTTCTCAAACTGCTGACCGCTGAGCTTCTCGATGGCTCTGCGGGGCACGAGAAGGGAGCCCAAGGTCATGATGAGACATGGTTGTTCAGTGGGAAGATCAGCCCTCCCCAGGACTGGGCCTTAGGGTGGGGGTGTGTGTGTGTGTGTGTGTGTGTGTGTGTGTGTGTGTGTGTGTGTG